GTGTTCCCCCATAACTGATCGACGCGCTAAGGACGACGAGCTCTCGTTCTAATTGCAATTAAGAGCTCAGCCCCGGCTGGCACGTGCCGCGCCACGAGCGCTCAAAAACAAACCCGCTGGGGGGTTTGGTTTCGGGTTTTTTAACCGCTAATCCCCGGCTGCTGAGAGGTTTGTTGTGTGTTTGCCTGGGTTTTTTTTTTTGTTTTTTTTTGTTTTTTCCCCTTAGCTGGACCACGGGCATGGCCCCCCCACGGCAGCCAAGGGGGGCCTGAGCTCCGTTGCCAGCCAGGACGTCCCGACCCCGCAGAGACCCCGAGCGGTTTTCCACACCAGCGAGAGCGACCCGGTGAGTCCCTGCCACCCCTGTCCCCGTCACACAGCCAGGCCACCCCTGGGGGCCACCAGTCCGCCCCTGGGACGTGCTGGGGCCGGGAATGCTGATTTGGGGTGGGTGTTGTTTTAGGGGAAGGGGGTGCACAGCCCTAAAAGGGGGATGGAATCCCACGGGAACGGCCGTGCCTGCTCTGCCCGGGAGCCCCCCGGGAACAACTATGGATTCCTGCGCAGATGAAGCTCACACTCATTTTGCAGAAGCTCAGGAACGCCTTGGCTTGTCATCAGACACCATTAATTCCCACCCCAGGGTTATTTCCCCCCTCACTGCCCAACCTCCCCCAAACTGGCCGTGAAGGGGTTAAACCCCCCCACCCCCCCACCCCAATGACCCCCCAGCAGCACCACAATTCCAGCCTCATGCTCCCCCCCCATCTCAGCCACGAAACGAGGCGGAATAAATGAATGGAAGGGAGCCTTTGAGGTGCTTTTCTGCTGCCTCTCTGTAATTGGAGTCTCTCGGTGCCCGATTCCTCCGGGGTCTCTATGGAAACGGCAGCGGGGAGATGATCTGCCAGCACGTGCCCCCCCCCCCCTCCCCGTGTCTATAGATTGCACAGCAGAGTCCAGATGGCAGGGATTGTCCCCTCTCTGTCCTGTGCCTGCCTTTTCACGTTGCCAGGCAACTGGCTCTGGCATTCTGGCTGGATGTGCCCCGGGGTTTGGTGGCTTTGGTGGCCGCCGTGGGCTCGGCCTCGCCGGGTCACTGCAGCAGCAGCAGCAAACCTGGTTTAAACCCATTTAAAAATGGATCCAGAAGGCCCAGATGAACACGAAATTCCTCATAAGATGTGGCTTTCATGTCCCTTTCCGTTAGCAAAGCTCGGGGTGGCTGGAAGCGGGGCTGTAAATCGGACGTGTGAATTGGGCTGTGACCCAATTTACGGCGGGAGCAGAGGGAGGGAATTTCCCTGAAGTTGTGCAGGGGATGAAGCTGAGAGTGAAAAGGGGCTCTGGAGCCCACTATTTGACCCCAAAGGTGTCACTGCCACGAAAAACACGGTTAATCTGTGTCCAGCCAAGTGCAGGAAAACTCCAGGGAATCCAGAGTGGGAAATGAGCTCTGCTGGGGAAAAGATGGGAGTCCCACTTCACTGATCTCCTCGGGTGACACCTCCCTGCAGCAGGGGCACCCCTTGGAAAGCCATAAATACATATATAAATATATAAGAACATGCCCAAGAATAAAGGGGAGGATTTTTTGACTCGAAATCCACGGAAAAGTGCAGAAAGCAGGACATGATGGAGGCTTCAAAGCTTGGCACAAAACTGCTGGAAGCCTTAACAAGAAGGTCTGCAGAATATGTATATATTTTATATTTATATCTATAAAATACTCTCCTAATTAGACACAAAATCTGACGACCAGAACAAGAGGAAATGAAAAAGGGCTTTGCAGGTGCTGCGTGGCAGGAAAAGAGAATAAGGAAGGGGGAAAAAAACAAGGCATGAAATAGGTATTAAATTTTCATATTTCGGGAGCAGCACCTTCTTGCAGGGCACAGTCAGATCTGCAGGTAATCACTGGAGATAAGTGCAGAAGGACTCAGGTCTAGTGAAGGAATAACTGATCACTGAGGTCACAGCAAGGGGCTGGAAATGATTGCCCCAGGGAGGAGATTGGGAGGGTTTTTTGGAGCCTCCAACAAACCGGTGACCAAGTGGCACCTTGGGAGCTGCTGCTGAGGCCCAGCAGCACAAGGCATAAAAAACCATCATTTTGTCACAAAAAGGGGCTCCAGGAGGGAACTCCAAAGCTGCTGTTGAGGTTGGGGGGCGGGGGGGGGGAGGACCAGAAGGACGAGGGGGGCTGATGGAAGGTGAGATAAATCCACGGAGGTTCCTACAGGAGCTCGGGGGAATCCCTTCATTGTTCAGCGGCAGGTGGGAGCTCCTTTCTTCAGGCTCTTCCAGAGCACGTCCCAGCAGTGTCCTGACCCCACAGGCCTTTCAGGAGTGTGACAGTTCCCCTTCTCCCCTCCCAGGCCAAGCACACGGAGCAGCACGAGGGTCGGCACTACAGCATCCCCCTGGAGGAGGTGAAGGTCGTGTTCCCACATGGGCTCCCCTACCGCTTCCAGCAGCAGGTACTCCAGCTCGGAGCAGCTTTGGAGGGAGGCTCCTGCGGCTGCCCCATCCCTGGAAGTGTCCAAGGCCAGGCTTGGATGGGACTTGGGAGCACCCTGAGCTCATGGGAGGGGTCCCTTCC